CCCCAACAAAAAAAAAAAAAAAAAAAAAAAGAAGAAGAAGATGAAGATGGCCATGCATGGTAGCCCACACCTATAATCCCAGCATTTTGGGAGGCCGAGGTGAGAGAATTGCTTGAACTCAGGAGTTTGAGACCAGCCTAGGTAGCATAGTGAGACCTCATTCAGCTCTACAAAAAAATTAGCAAGGCATGGTGGCCCGCATCTGTAGTCCCAGCTACTTGGGAGGCTGAGTTGGAAGGATTGCCTGAACCGCTGCACTGTAGCCTGGGTGATTGAGTGAGACCCTGTCTCATAAAAAAAAAAAAAAAAATCTATATCCTTTAACCATTTTTTTTTTTTTTTTTTAATTAAAAACTTTTTTTTAGAGTTAGGGTCTTGCTCTGTCACATAGTCTGGGAGTGCAGTGGAGCAACCATGACTCACTGCAACTTCAAACTTCTAGGCTCAAGTGACTCTCCTGCCCCAGCCTCTCAAGTAGCTAGGACTGTATGCATGACCACCACACCCAGCTTTTATAACCATGTTTGAAAAAGAGAAAAAAGAAAAAAAAAATCACCTTTGATTTAGCACAGAATATTTTATAGATGATGCATTGGAATTGAGAAACACTTCTTATCTTTTAATTCCCCTTGTGTTGGTTTCAAAAGCTGTGTAATTATTTTGACCAGGTATGATGGCTCATACTTGTAATCCCAGCATTTTGGGAGTCCGAGGTAGAAGCATGACTTGAGGCTAAGAACTCGAGGCTGCAGTGAGCTATGATCACACTGTTGTACTCCAGCCTGGGTGACAGAGTAAGACTCTCTCTAAAAAAACAAAACTATATGGTTATTTTTAAATCAAATCAATATGAATGAGAAAGTTGTTATTTTTAAGTTTCTCAGTGGTTTTTCGGCTAGAAAAATAGAAACTAGTGAAGTAGTTAAAGATAAAATAAGGAAAGTATAAAGTAATTTTATATATTCACGAAGTCCAGGTTTTAAAAATGCTCATATATTTGGGAGAATCTAAAGAATATGTATTTTTTTCATTTTTTAGGAATTAAAATAGATTTATCTCTTTCACCTTTTGTGTTTGTTTGAAGTTTTTCATAATAAAATATGGGATAAATATATTAATCTACTGGTACTTTACTTTTTTCAGTTTGTTCATTCAAGTATTCCAGTAAAATAGATTAATATTCTCAAAGTGGCTTTTAAAATTATCTTTAGTGAATGGGAAGTTGAAAGATTTCAATCATTCTTTTCTCTTAAGTGTATCACAAAATGAAAGAATGTAGTGGGAATGAACAAAAGGTAGTTGACTGAACTCATTTGTCTTTGGAGTATACCCAGTGTATAAATGAGGCTTGTTATTGGAGTCAGTGGGAAGCTTACATTTTGTCAAGTGTATAGCTTTCATTTACAGAGGGTCTTTAAGGTTAAGTGCTATTGAATTTTTAAAAAAATTCTCTACTAACCTCTGTTTTGTTTTACAGCATCCACCCGTTTTGTCAAGTGTGAAAAATGTCATCATTTTTTTGTTGTACTATCTGAAGCAGATTCAAAGAAAAGCATAATTAAAGAACCTGAATCAGCAGCAGAAGCTGTAAAATTGGCATTCCAACAGAAACCACCTCCTCCCCCTAAGAAGGTATAGGTCTTAGCTCAGTCTTATAAGCATTTTATCTTAAAAACATTCCATTGCTTCTCTCTCCCCAGTTTATATTGAATCCTAATACTAGTATTTAAGCAAGTATTATAAGTTCTTAATGTGAATCATATGTGAGTAAATTGTTATTGACATTTGGTACTTGTAATTTAGGTATGGGGTCCATTGCTTTTTCCCATGTCATGATTGCTATATTTGGTAACAGTGAAATATAGTAATTATTAAATGGTATTAATACCAAGTTAATCTGAAATAATATCTTTACAGTAGAACAGCTGTAGGTTTATTTTTGTTACTTTGGGTTCCTACATAACTCCAGCCTACAATTATCTTCTTAACTTTGTTTATTTTATGGTAAAACAGCCTTCAGTCTAGCAATATAAGAAAGTAGTTTTTTCACAGCCGGTGTGCCAGGGCTGCTCCATATAGCACTGTGGGTTTTGTGGTGTGGGCTCTTTTTAGGAGTCTCAGGCAGAGTGTAATTTGGTCCTATGAAACACGACACAGTGTACCACTACCTCTGTTGGGTACTTGGTGTGTGATTTGTAGAACTGGGAGTGCTTACCCCTAACCATGTGCTTTCTATCTAGCCATGTCTCAGGTTATCACACACTTAGATTATTTTTCACCTTCTGCCTCCCTCAGTGTACCTTTCTTCTACTGTGTTTACATACCAGTGCATTTGTGTCTACCTCCTAATGTGCTGTGGCAGATTTAATAAGTCATGAATATAATTTATGAGGAATGGAGAGAAATTTTAAAACTATAATAAAACATATATGGTCAGTAACTAAAGAATTTGTCATGTAAAAATAAAAAATGTAATAGCTGTTAAGCTTTAAATTTTGTACTATTTGTGTAGACTTTAGACACTTGAGTTAAAAGTTCTAGGAAATAAATAGGCAGTTTAACTATTTTCAGGAGTTAATGAGTATTAATTGTTCATTTCTAGTCAGAAGTTGAAAGAATTTACCCTAGGTTCTAAGCTGGTGACAATAACCAAGTGTAGAATAGAGCTTTAGTTTCTATTTAAGAGTAAAGCTTTTAGATTGTCATTTGGGTGAATGAGTAGCTTTAAAGTTACTATCTGAGAAGAAGCTAAAGTTTGTATTAAAACACATAGATACTGGTAGTATAATGACTTCTGATTATAAAATACCTGTTTCTGAAAAGAGTAGTTTTAAAATGTTATCTTTTTAAAGAATATCATTCATGTGATTGAGAGAGGTGTAGAAAGAACTTATTTTAATGCTTTATAGTAAAGATGATACTTTTTAGATCCATGGTGGCATGTGTAATATTTAAAGTACTTTAATATTAGCTTAAAAAAAATTAGACTTGATGGCACTGTTTATAGAATAGAAACTAGCATAGCACTAGTAGACTACAGTGGCACTTTGTTAAGCCAGCATAGCACTAGTAGAGTACAGTGGCACTTTGTTTACTTGTGGTTCGTTTGTTCACTTTGTGTTTAGGGCTCTAAATCATTGCTGTATAATTTATTATGTCTTCCCCAGTTTGTCATTTCTTTTTTTTTTTTGAGTCAAAGTCTCACTCTGTTGCCCAGGCTGGAGTGCAGTGGCATGCTCATGGCCACCGCGGCCTTGACCTGCTGGGCTCAGGCTATCCTCCTGCCTCAGCCTTTGAAATAGCTGGAACTACAGGCACACACCACCACACCCGGCTAATTTTTTAATTTATTGTAGAGATGAGGTCTTGCCAAGTTGCCCAGGCTGGTCTTCAACTCGTGGGCTCAGGCAATCCTCTCACCCTGGCCTCCCAAAGTGCTGAGATTGTAGGCATGAGCCACTGTGCCTGGCCTGTCATTTCGTTTTTAATGAGAGCTTTTGTTCAGATTTAAAGCTGTAAACAAATATGCCCAGTATGTAACTTTTTAATATATTTGCTTTTAGTAAATAGCTTATAGTAAATTACTCACACTGAATCATTTTTCAGATTTATAACTACCTCGACAAGTATGTTGTGGGTCAGTCATTTGCTAAGAAGGTGCTTTCAGTTGCTGTGTACAATCATTATAAGAGAATATATAATAATATCCCAGCTAATCTGAGACAGCAAGCAGAAGTTGAGAAGCAGACATCATTAACACCTAGAGGTTAGTGTTTTTGATAGTTGACCTAAATAGAGATTACTATGCTTAGAAGTAATTTTTCTTTGTAACTCCTCACTTTTGTTTTAAAATGCTTTTAATATAGTGCAGCATTTTTCAGAGTGCAGGTCACTTCACATTATTGGATCATGAAATCATTTTGTTAGGTTGCCAACAGAATTTTTAAAAAAATTTATAGATGTTAATAGAAATTATCAGAGTATATTAACTTGTAGTTAAGGTAAATATTGTTTCTTAAAACTTTGGTTTTCAGTTGTATGTGCATGGATTCTGAGTCACAAAGTAAAATGTATTTCTTATTGAGAGTTTTAATAAAAAAGTTTTTCAGCCACTGAGGTAGAGATTGAGACACTGTCTTTGAATTATGGACTTCACCACAACTAGCTCCCCTTGAACAGATCGTTGCAATGCTTGTATGACTCTGAATTTTCAAGATACAGAATCTTATTTGCCTTTATCAAAGCTATGTGGAAATGATAACTATTGATATATCCAGCACTGTTTTCTCTTTGGGTTCTGTTTATAGAGTGCAAGGTTAAGGGCAAATTTATAAGGGGTTCAAAGTGCAGTTCCTATTAATAATAGATTTTAATATATCAATATATTGTGTAATTTCAACTGTGGACAATAATGCTTGTGTTATATTAATAGAATAATTTTTTAAAAACTATGAATAGAATACAGTGTAAATATTTAAATCTTTGTTTTTTGGCCAGAGAGCCCTGATTTCTTACTTAGGCCTGCACTCCTTCATTTTAGATTCTTCTGGTCATCACTGTAAAATTTGAAGGAGTTCTGCTAAATACTTAAGTTTACAAATCTATAATGTTTTAACTGATTTCAGTGAAGACACTTGTTCATCTGTACTTACTGTAAAATAGTTATGTGATAGTATCAGTAACTTTATTTTTAAAAAGTGTAAGTCATAACTAATGGAAGACTTAGAACCTTCATTTTTATAAGGTCCAAAAATTCTTTTGTAATATGAAAAGCTGAAAAAAACGTTAATGAACACAACTTTTAAATATACTTGGAAGAAGGCAGGAAGTGGGATACTCATTGTTTGTTCCCCAAGCTAAGCAAATATGTAATATTTTCATGTTGCCATTTTCATCCTCTTTCTTAGAGTTAGAAATAAGAAGACGGGAGGATGAGTACAGATTTACAAGTAAGTGACCTCTCCTCAGGTCCGCCTGTAAGCATTCTTCCTTTTGACGTTTACTTCAAGGAAGTATTTCAGCAGTAATAATGGTAGACATGTATTTATTTGCTTGTGTATTCCCAAACGAGATCTATATTACCTAAACATGTTTATCATACATCGTATATATAACTTTGAAATAGTTTTTCATAACTAATTTGTGTCATTTGTGTATCTTAGATTATTTCAGGTATTTCTCTTCTGTTACAATGCTTCTTAAAGCATAACTTAGAGAAATATAAAGTATGATGTATAGCTTTCCTCTATAAGTATAGGCATATTAATAAAATTGTATTTCTTTAAATTTATAGTTTAGTTTGTATTTTATCTTTTTTTTGCCAAACTACAATTAGAGTTGGCCTGCTTATAGGTGACAGGAACTTCTTATGGGGAGGCAGATTATCTTCTAGGTACTCTTTGCCAGAAAACACACTCTTTTTTTTTTTTTTTTTAGTATTTATGAAACTTATTATAGACTTGCAAATTATGAATAAACTTTCATTCACTGTTTCCAGCCCTAGTTTGCCCCGTAAGCATCAGATTATCTCATGGAGGGTATAAAAGGACCTACATACCAAGGAGAGTGGCCAGTCTAATATCTTGCACCCAGTCCTTTGGAGTTTGAAAGTTCCAGGGATGGCACAGAAAGATTCACATGTCCTTTTGTTTTAGCACTTGAAATAAAGAAAATTGGCTAATCTTGATACTATTATTCCCAGTTATTTTTATTTTTAATTTTAATTTTAATTTTTTATTTTTGAGTTGGAGTCTCACTGTCACCCAGACTGGAGTGCAGTGGCCGCTCCTGGCCACCGCAGCCTCGACCTGCTGGGCTCCAGTGATCCTTCTGCG